TTTTTTTTTTTTTTTTTGTCCTGTATTGTTGTTGTTGATGCATGAGAATATAGGAATTCAATTATGGCTGATCATCTACCTTTGTTATTTTCTAATCTCTATCTGTTATGGTTATTGTTATGTGTTTGTTCAGATCTCTGGCCAGCACCATTCTTGTGCTTCTTTGCTCTGCCTCCAGTTCCACTTATTTTCAACGTCCTTACCATATTTTGCCACCTGATCTGCAGGTTTATACTACTTTTTATACTTCTATTATCTGTTTTTCTCTCTTGGAGGTATAGAAAGGTTTAATTTCTGGTTGAATCATTGCTAAACAGGTGTAGACTTGATTTGTCTTTCAACATGACAAAAGTGTTTTTTCGTTACATAATATGACAGATATATATGCATTAGTTTAGTATGTTAAACAACTCAATTTTAACTAAGAATTTCTCACGGATTCCCTATTCTTGTGTATGATGTACAATCTTTGACACATGCAGAACCAATGGAATACATACAAAAAAAGAACATATGATAATCAAATAATTTTGTTTAGATAACCCAACATGAGGCAATGAATCCACCAAGTCAGTAAATATGTATAGGAAGGAGGAACAAAGATTGTTTACATATACATGTTTTTTTCTTTATCTAAAGCAAACAAAAACTTAAGTACCTTAACTGGTGTCACATTTCAGGAGCTTTATTCATGGCGGAAATTGCAACACTAATTCTTGAAATCATAAAGTGTGTAGCACCTCCAACACGAAGTTGTGTAGATAATCACAGAAAATTCAAAGAAAATGTAGAAGATCTGAAAAACAAATTGAGAATTCTTGAGGGCAGAAAAGAAGATGTAGAAACACGGCTACAAGACGAGGTTTGCTCAGAAAAACAGGCCAAAAATGAAGTGGTGCTATGGCTTCAAGATGTAAAGAAAGTCAATGCTGAAATTCAAGATGTTTTGAAAAGGGTGCACAGTGCTTCATACTTCTCACGAGCTCGACTTGGAAAACTTGCTCGTGAAAAAATTGATGTACTGGATGCAATTCTTCAACGGGGCAATTTTCCTGAAGGACTGGTAGTTAATAAGCCTGCAACTACTTTGCCTATACCAGTAGAGGATCTAGAAGGCGAGGATACCGTGAAGGAAGAAATATTGGGATACTTGAAAGGCAATGAGGTCCCAATGATTGGAGTTTGTGGAATCGGGGGTGTTGGGAAGACCACCATTATGAAACATATTCATAATGAATTACTATTGATGGAGTCCAGATTTGATAATGTGATCTGGGTCACCGTCTCATATCCACTCAATGTTGTTAGATTACAACATGAAATTGCTAAGAGAATGAATGAAAGCTTCCCAGAGAATGAAGATGAGCAAAGCTGGGCTTCAAGATTGATGCAGATAATGGGAAAAGTGAAATCTGTGTTGATATTAGATGATGTGTGGCACAGGTTTACTCTTAAAGATGTTGGAATCCCGAGTCCCACAAAGGAAAACGGTTGCAAAATAGTTATTACTAGTAGAAAGGTGGATGTATGCCAGTTCCTTGGTTGTGAAATAGTTAAAGTGTCTCCTCTTTCAGAGGAAGAGTCTTTGAATTTGTTCTTAGATAGGGTGGGAAGGGACATTCTACAAAATCAAGAATTGGGAGAAATTTTGAAGCTTATGGTGAAGGAGTGTGCTGGACTACCATTGGCCATTGTTGTAATAGCTGGAAGCATGATAGGAGTAACTAATGTTCACCAGTGGAGGCATGCTTTAAATGAATTACGTGAACGCCTAAGAGCTATAGCCGAAGGTTCAGAAGACCAGATATTTGAGCGGTTGAAGTTCAGCTATGATCGTTTGCAAGATTCAAATACCCAAAATTGTTTCTTATCTTGCTCATTATATGCTGCAGACTATCAAATTAGAAAAGAGAATCTAGTCGAACAATGGATTGATGAGGGACTTGTTGAAGAATTAGGCAGTAGACGAGCCATGCTTGATAAAGGATGGACCATATTAAACAAACTTGAGAACAGTTGTCTGTTAGAGAAAGGTCATTCTGAGGCCCTTATTAAAATGCATGATGTTGTAAGAGATATGGCATTGCGCATCAATCCTCAATTTATGGTGAAAGCTCGTATGGGACTAACAGAGATACCAGATGAGCATGAATGGACTGAAAATCTTGAAAAGGTTTCCTTGATGCAGAATGAAATTTCAGATATTCCTCTAAACATGTGCCCAAATTGTCCCATTCTCACAACCTTGATGTTGCAATGGAATAGCAAATTGACCCAAATTTCAGATTGCTTTTTTGCAAACATGCAAGGGCTCAAGTGTCTCAATCTTTCTGGAACTAGCATTGAAAGTCTACCTCATTCCATCTGCAATTTGGAGAATCTTACTACATTGCTCTTGCGTCATTGTAGGCAATTAAAACATGTACCTTGCTTAGCAAAGCTTCAGGCATTGAAGAAGTTGGATATGCTCAAAGCAGGAATTGATGTGGTCCCTGAAGGCATTGATATACTTGTAAATCTCCAATATCTTGATTTACGGAGCCTACAATTGGTGGAGCTACCGACACAAATACTCGGTAACCTCTCTCACCTCCAGCACTTGACAGTATATTCCAAATCGACCACTTCAAAGATAAAAGGAGAAGAAGTAAGAGGATTGAAGAAGTTGGAGACTTTTCAAGCTCAATTGTATGACTTGCAAGACTTGAACAATTATGTTAAGTCTAATCATTTTAAAAGATTGAGTAATTACTGGCTTGCGGTTGGACAAGTGGAGGAGGGCTTTGATCCTTTTATTAATAATTTCTCTAAAGGAATAAGTTTAGGAGAATGTGAGATAGGTGGAGAAGATAGTGTGGTGCTTCCAGATGATGTGCAGGAACTGTGGATTTATCGGTGTAGAAAATTTAGAAGCTTAAGTGATATTTATTCTCTCCAAAAAACAACTGAGTTAAAATTCTGTTCTATTACTGGGTGTGAAGAGATAGGGTGTGTGGTTGACATGGTTACGTCATCATCATCTTTCATTAATAACCTTGGAGGGCTATGGCTTTATAAGTTGCCTAACTTGAGTGTTGTTGTGAACGTGGAAGGAGTAGAAGCAACATCGCCTCACATCTTTTCCAATCTTAAATTCTTTGGAATGTGGGAATGTTCTAGAATGAAGGGGTTGTTTTCACTTGAGTTGCTGCAAGGCCTTCAAAACTTGGAGGCGATTACTGTTTGGAATTGTCAACAAATGGAGGAAATAATAGGGTGGGAAGGAGAAGAGGAAAATCACACAGCTGATGCAACTACTACTACTACATTCACTCTTCCAAAATTAAGACAGTTGAATTTGCAGAATTTACCAGAATTGAAGAGAATCTGCCCCACAAGAGGAGTAATGGTTTGTGATTCTCTCCAACAATTACAAATAGAGGAATGTCCAAAGTTAAGGAGGATTCCCTTGGTAGGGAATGTACGGCCATCTCCTCCTGCTGCTCTAAAAAGAATCTCTATAAAGCCAAAAGAATTATGGGAATCACTGGAGTGGGAAGATCCCAATGCCAAAAATGTCCTTCAACCCTCTGTGCATTTTCCTACTTATTGAGGACTGCAAATGGAAAGTTTTGCATAAAATCAAATGGCTGAGATCTAATACCATGGGTAAACCTTCTTTTCTTTTCTTTTCTTATTAATGTTCAAACTGCAATATTTCACTCTCATTTCTTTTTTTCCTTTTTTTTTTTTAAATATCCTTTATTTTTTTTAATCATATATTCACCGTCGAACATTTGAAACCAAATATTTTTGCGGTTCATATATATAGATCGATCTTGTGGCTGATGCTTTTAGTCATCATTTGATTCAATTCTCTCAAAATCATTAATGTTTAATTAATTCATCTTTCATCTAGTGGGTAATGCATCAACAACTAACTAATTTTGTGTGAATTGATTTTGATCAAATTGGTTATTGTCATTTAATCGATCTATTGTGATTTGTGAGAAAGACTGTCAAGTTTATATGATTTGTGGGGGTTGGAGCGCAACAAGTCTAGGAAGATTTGAGCCTATTTTTGGTTCTGCACATCAGGTGTTTGATGAAATGCTTGTGTGGAGATATGGGTTTGTTTTCTGGAATGTGTTTGCTAGGATAGGCTACACTAGGTACAAGGGTTTAGAAAGATGGTGTAGGGTATTTTAGGGTGATATGCTACATATGTTTTCGAGTTGAGAATCTTTGTAATATGTGGATTAGATTACTCCTTAATGCTTATACTCCTCTTTAACTGATGATGAATGGCTTTGTGGGACAATGTTGTGCAGGTTGGGTCTGCATCTTTGTTCAGCCTGTCAAAAGGATCTCACCTTGGAATGTGCAGGAAATTAAACCAAAACAATGGGTCGATTCTGCACATCTGCTTGACTTGAATGTTGTTTCATAATCTTTAAAATCTCTATTTGTTTTTGAATGCTAGTATTATGTAAAACTCGGTTTATTTCTTGCTTCTTATTTTCATTAACATGTGTGATTTTGTGTAAGTTACATTATATAGTTGTGTGGTTGTTCTTTGGATGTTTGTCTCAAAATCTTAAATTATTGTTGTAGTTAACTTGATTATCTCTCTGAGCAAAAAAGACTCATACATTTATTATTGAAAAAAAAGTTTTTTTTTTCCCCAAAAAAAAAGAGAAGGAAGTTTAAAATTTCAATTAGTAGAATACTTATAATATGACATTTTTCTCTCCCTCCTTGAGAAAAAAGGAAAGAAATTACATTTGGAAACATCAGTATACAAAACTAAGAACAACAGGGATCCTTGGAGTCATGCATAGACTCGGGAACATTTTTAAGCTGTTCTCTGTGCTCATATCGGCCATTCATACAAAAATTTTCCTAGAAACAGATGAAATGGTCAAGAAACTATAGTTACAAAATGCATTTGGGTTATCAAAACTACTCTTCCACAATTACTGCTTGGTAAAGCAGACAGCTCAGTTAGAATACTTGGGATAACCTGACCAAGGTTCTAGCCCATTGGAAGGTTCCTCCCCTTTTGCTGAAGTCGAGGAGCTAACTTGGCGATTGTTCTCAGGGCTGGTTGTTTGAGGCTTTCTGGGTTTTGATTGAATGTTAGTACCCATGGGAAAGGGGCTCCTGCATCAAAAAGCAAACTAGTCACTTTGATTCAAAGTGACAAGGTGCTTAAAGAGTTAATGCAATGTGCTTAATGAGTTAATGCAATCACTCATGCTGTGTAGCACAAGTTACTAAACCTTAACCCACTGTTTGGTTTGAGAGAAATGGAAACAGAGTCCATTTCCTTCCCCTCCCCTCTGTTTCCTTCCATTTCCCCCCTTTCAATTTTTTTTATCCAAATAGGGAAATTTCAATCCCTTCCCTCAAACCAAATAAGTGATAAGACTTTATGAGCTACTTCACTAGTTTGACATGATAACCAACCTGATCGCCAGCGTTCGGACTGTCAGTATGAAAAAGCATAGGGCGGCATTGTTTATCTTCGTCCATCAAGCTTGAGTTCTGGAAATGGGCGATAAGAGCAGCTTTTCCTTGAATCCTAGCATATGCAAGCAATGCCACTTTTTCACTGTTAAACTTTTCCCATTTTTTGCCATTGAATGCCTGCAAATTGGTTTAATAACACATTAACATGAAAAAAAATCTTTGCAAATATGAAAAAGCAGTACAACATCTAATCCCATATCAAACCTTATGGAATGCAATAATCTGTCGTGGATCAATCATGTTGATGAATGCATAACGTTGCATTTCTTCTGTTGACAATATTCACAAGTCTCAAGTTAGAAAAAGAAATATATGCTCTTTCATAATAAGGACATAACAAGTGTCAGAAATGAGGATTTCTTCAACCTCCAATCACCCCAGCCTAAGGCACTTCAGGGCAAGACGAGCTCATCAAAAAACTAATTTACTTGCCTTGAAGTCAATTGGCAAATAAATGAAATCATAGGTTCCTTTGACAGTGCTCATTTATTGCAGCCAGAAGCATCTTTGAGGTATACCTGCATAAAAAAGGC